TAGCTTCAGATTGAGGCTCTGACTCTATAGTTTCTGTTCCGGGGTGTTTAGTTTACTATGGTTTAGTTTAGGCAACGGTTTGTAATTAAGCCAGGGTTGACAAACGTTGTTCTGGAAAGCAACGTGGAAGAAGGAGCCACAGAATGTCTCTACTTGGAGCGTCATGGGTAGCTAGAAGCTTGGTTACAAGAACCCTTAGCGGGGTCAAAAGCGTGCAGTCGTCTCATGTTCCTGAAGGGCCGGCAGGAGACTTCTGCACATCCATGCCACCGATTGCTGATGGCTAGGTTGGTGCTGGTTCATCGTGCGAAAGAGCCCCCCTGCAACTCCGCTTGAGTCTTAGACAACCAGACTCGACACCCAACCTTGAACTCGAGCTCCTGAAAACCTTGAGGAATACCATTACTATCTCTGTCGGGTCCTATAGTATGTTTTATGATTTTTTTGGTTGGCATTAGACAGCACGAACTTCCGCACACAGCCGCCGCGAACCTGGCATGATATTCGCCAACGCGTCAGAGCGCGAGATCGTTCGCGACAGGACCCTCATGCTACCTTGATCGTCTTGGCTTGCTCTGGAATTGGGAGCAAGTGGACAGCGATACGCAAGGAAGACGCGGTCCGAAGTCGTTTTCAAGGACACTTGCTGAGAGGAGTGAGACTGGTTAAGCTGTGGGGCATTTTGCCGCTTACTTCTACCAGACGTCACACGCTTTGCAGGGTTTAGGGGCCCCATCCCTTTGCCTGCTTGTCACCTCAAATTAAAGTTTCTCCTCTAAAGCCTAAGCCCTAAGCCGTTTGCTGCCGCTTCAGTCTCAATGCTTTTCCAAAATAGGATTGGGTGTGTCTGTAACCCAACGCCGCTGAACTTCAAGAACTCCTACACCCCTGACCCCGAAGCGCCCCACCCCTCAAGGCAAAAGTTCAAGCTTGATAGCACCGAATAATCCCTGCACCAAACCGCTTTTGTCGGCTGCCAAGTCTAAGCCACATAAGCCTGAAGCCCTATACGTCGCATAAAGCTTAAGCTCTAAACCCTAGGCACTACAAATCCTAATCCCCATAAGCCCTAAGGACTAACCCCTGAACCTCCTCTATATAGGTCCAATCCATGGAGCGGCTCTTCGATGAGCCCGAGGGTCCTTGGAGCCTTTATCCGGCAGGGCCGTGTCTTTTCGGGCCTTCAACGGTTCTCTAAGGTCTGGGTAGGTTTGTGCAAGGGTTCCATAATCGGTAACCAAAGCGTCTGAGTGTCAATCTAGTACGCATGTTGGCAAATAAGTATTGATACTGCACTGGTGCTTAGATCCTTTTTTGGGGTAGGGCTGTGCCTGTAGATTTACCATGGTTTACCTTAAGGGCTTCTATACGGGGTTCTATGAAACCTGTTGTTGCTCGTGAGGGTTTCATAGAGGTTCACACGGGTTTGAGGATTGTAAGTCTGAGGGGATGAATTTGGCTCAGGGTGCAGGGCTCAGTGTTTAAGCCGAGGGTTCACGGCTTCGCTTTGGGAGTCATCATTTGCGCATGTTGGGACCAGGGGCTATTTTGAGCCGGGTTTTTGGATCTACATGATAGCCGTTCTGGTGCCCATATGGTACCGATGCGCACAAAATCCTCCTGATTAATCAGCCCGCTATCTTGCGGAGCTCATACTTGGCACATTTTCCTCACTAGAAAGCCATAAACTCTAATGTCAAGGAGCCCCTAAACCCTAATTCCGCAAACCCTTTGTCCACTTTTACCCCTAAACCCTTAAACCTTAAATCCTAAACCTCAAACCCAACCCTTGTGAAGAAGGAGTCCCCCGTGCTGCGTTGAGGCTTTCGGCCCATAGCCGTGCGCGCTGCCAGCCGGTCAGGACTTTACTTAAGTGTTCTTTGAGTAGTTTTGGTTCATATATCAACAAATGAAAGGATATGATGGGATCATTGAACATCTCACTTTTGGTTAACATGCTCACATTAAATGGTTGTCGTTGACGGGGTTGGGCGATGATTAAGTATATGTGTATAAAGAGGTACATTCAGATAGGCACAAGCCTACATTGCATTGACATCTACAGCGTTTCATGCAGCTTATTGAGCTGAGTTCTCTTCTAGAAGGTATCAATGTGCCCGGTTTGGGGCTTGCGGGGCCTCGGAAGTTTGAGGATCCAGTCTTCATGGTGGGTTCGGGAGGGCATGGGGCGGATAAAGATGAAGAGCAAACAAGGACGGAAGCATAAGCAAGCGTGTAAGTAGCAGGGGTTCAGGGGTTTCGGCTTGAGGGCGTTACTATCTACAGTCTACCGCAAGTCGCAGCAGAATTGCTTCCCTAAGCCCTGAACCCTAAGCTTCTGCCTAACTGTCGCCCATTGTAGGCTATGGTTTAGGGCTTAGGCTTCTCAGGGTTTCGGGTTTAGGGGTTCCGTCTCGGCCAAGAAGCGCAATAAACCTGCCGGCCTCCATCCCGCAGTCAACAGAGAAACCCCGGAATTCAGGCTTCGTCCGGAAGACAACCCTACCCGTCCTAGCTTCGGAAATCCAAAGCCGATGTACACTCGCTCGGCACATGTAGCGAGTCTTGAAGTTGGATTGAAGACTTCGGGCTGCTCATAGGGTTGCGGCAGAGTGATATCGGTGCATGTGACTTCCTGCTGCCCCAGCCGCACAAATGGGGCGTACTGGGAACTTGCACACCTCGACAGCCCAGCGGAACCTTAACTGCAGAAGACGGAATGTACATGATCCTTCGAAACGTCCATAAGGCGTGTCCAGCTGCTGCCAGCACCCAGAAGCTCCCTGCCCACCATGCTGGACAATTATTCATCTTGACCTTTTGAAGAGTTCGAGACTCTGATGCTCCAAACATCAACTAGACCCCATACCCTGCAGCCCTACACCCGAAATCCTTTCAGATTCCTTGAAGGATGCCGTAAAGGACGCGTTGAAACTCTACCTTCCCTCCCCCCCTCCCCCCGCCCCCCCTGCCCCGATGCGTGTCTGCTTCGCACGACTTTTCAGTTTGCGCAGGAGATGATCCTGGCGGCTGCTCTGCCCCGCATTCAGAGTGCGCTTTCGGGATATGTTTGGGGCTTCGAGACATGATAAAACATAAGTACAGAAGCATGGGGACTTGATGAAACTAAGGTTCTAGAATGGTTCTTCTACCCGGGTTTTTCAACGTAAGGATTCCGTGAAGTGTTCTGCTGTAAATGGTTCTATGGGGCTGGTTCATTGTACAGAAGGGTTGAATACAATACATGCACATTCATGATCCTACATGCATGTGTGTCTTTGAGCATGTCGTATGTGGTTGCCACTGTGCCTTGTTTCTCGTGTCTTCATTTCTATGCTTGTCTGCTCAGTCGTCAACCGGGCCTGGGATCGAAAAGTCTTGAAGTTTGGACAATGGAACTTTGGATCTAGAGTCTGGAAGGCCCAGTTCGACTACTCAGGTCAATAGTATGGTCGGGATGTGTTAGATGAAAATGTACACATTTGTTCGCCGCTTCCGGCCTGAATAGACCACGGCGTTCGTGCCAAGCTGCGCCACACGGAATCTCACGATTGCAGTAGTAGTCTTCGTCGTCGTCGTCGCCGTAGCAGGAGAAGCAGCAGTAGCAGCAGCAGAAGTGCAAGTGACGGTTGAAATCAGGACTAGCAGCATCACCCGCAGATGAACTGTGAGCGACCATGTCCTCTCGTAAAGCAGTTCGGCCCAATACTGTGCATATGCAGCAGCTCGCTTGAAAGAGCACAGAGCCATACAGATCCACGAAATGTATGCCGACAACTTAGCGTTCGAGTAGCCGAATTAGACTCTAGGCAGCCTGAAAACCAATCCTGCAAGCGCTAAGCGCAACGCTATGATTATGACATGCAGGTTTCAGCAGGTCTGAAAGCACTGAACCCTAAACCCTGACCCAGCCTGAACCCGAACGCCGTTAAGTCGAAGGTCGAAGGCCAAACCACAGGAACCCTGCACCGCCCGGACCAGCGTTCTTGTATTCACGTTTTGCTCCCAGACCCTATTCTTATAACCACTAAGAGGCGGAGTCTATACACCAGTAGGTGTAGCTTGATGTTTCAAGGAGTTTTGCTACTTGTTTGGACCCTCAGGGTTTAGGGCGGCATTTTAAGCATATCTACCTCACCTGCATCTCCTCCTGACCCAAACCCGAAACCGACAGTAGCCACCCCTCCCTCAAATCCTGAAGCTGGAGCCCGGAACCTCCCTAAATGCCTCAGCCTTAACACTTAAAACTGAAAAACATCAGCCCTAACGTTCTAAACTACACGACTCAACCTCAAATCCTCCACATCACGTCTCCATGGCGGCACCAAAGCGACGTTGGGGTGGCGTCCAGCGGCGGTGGGGGTGCCACGGCAGGCGGTGGTTCGGTTTAAGCTTTGGGGTGTTAAGGTTCCAGACTGCACAGAGGCCTGGACGCGAAAAGGTTCTAGGCTGTCCTCAGCATAACAGTTTCATTTTTTGCTGATTCCTACCAACTAGCATGAAGGGCATCTTCCACTTGACACCGCTGGTCGTGCGTATGTATGTGCCGAGTAGTTACTTTGGGTTCCGGTTCCCTTCCTCGCCTTAGACCGTAGCAGGCGCACCCCCTTGTAGCCAATTATGAGAAGTAAAGGGCCGAGAGTGCGACTCTCAACGTGACGACCCCCAATTTGGATCTCCTGTTCTAGGAAACACCTGAACGCTCCGAAGAGAAGCTGTTTTGTGAGCGTATAGAACCCGCACTGAGCCCTGATAAAGCCTGTATGGAACCCCGGCAAAAAGGCTTCATATCAAAAATGCTGAAAGCCCCTCTGAGCCTCCTGAGCCTTTTCCGGCTGCCCGAGCCTTCCCCCCGAGAGGGGTCCATGTACCTGTACAAGGAGTTAAAGGGTTGCCCCAAACACTACACTGTAACACCGCTTCCCAAACCATGTAAGACGGAGAACGGCCCCAAACCGCCGCTCTCCAGTTCAAGGCAGCATCGAACTTCAGAAGCGGAGATGGAGCCTCAGGAGACATCGGGTTGTGCTCGTCTGCAAAGTCCAGCATTTTCGGGTTTGAAGCGACTCCACCAGTCCTGATTCAAAAGGGCTTTGGGGTTCATACATTCTTTTGGGTCTTGAATTGAAGTCTGTAAATGGGTTCGTGGTTTCACTCATGCCCACAGGATCTTCTACCCCTTGCTAGCCCCACTATAACTATAACTATGACTATGACTTGTAACTATATCCATATACCCCAAAATCCCGATGTTCACTGTCAAGGCCCGCACAAGCTCTCGGTTTGCTCTTATTCCGATTGTTGCTGTGAGTGCTAGCTTTACTCTTACTCTTGCTGCTTCACAACCAGTACTGCCGGTACTAGACTTACTAACATATCTACGACGATGCTTATTATGACCAGCACTACTATTCATATTCTGATTGCAAATTCTATCATTATGTTGCGATTATGGCTGCTGCTACTGTTTTTACTTTTTGCGTTACCTTGGATGTTGCTATCACTATTGGTCTGATATTCGTACTCTTGTAACCCTAAACCCTAAACCCTAAAAACTCTAAACCCTAAACCCTATTACCCATGTCAGGAGGCGTCCGAAGCCGAGGCCGATTCGGTGAACCAGGCACAGCTCGAGGCCTGGACTTGAAGCTTTGCAGAAAAGCTCTAATACAAGGGCCTATATACTTACCTATACTCTTTTTGGGGGTTATAGTTATAGTAATATACACCCAAAGCTCTATTCTAATTATTATGGCGCCTATAGTCGGTGTTTTAGTGGCTTGGGGTTTAGGGGCTGAGGGTTTGTAGGGCTCAGGGTTTGGGGCTTCGGATTTTGGTTTTGGGGTTTGATTAATCGAGGTTCAGGGGATCTCCGGGCGGGTTGAAGGGGTCAGGGAACAAGTTGTTGGAGCTTCGATGTGGGGATGTGGAGGTTGTGGAGGTTGCGGAGGTGTTTCGGGAGTTTACGGCTTAGGGCTTTTCGGGCCTAGGGTTTAGGGGGCCAAGGTGCACAGGATCCAAATAATCTGGGCTCTGGAAGAGTCCCTCGCTATGGGCTTTAATGTTCATGTTTGGCGGTCATTGTGATAAGGATCCGAGTGCTTTCAGACTCTCAGCGTTCTATATTATGGTCCGAGCCCGAAGTGCCTGAACCCTGCAACCCAAAAAGCCCGAAGCCCTTAAGCCTAACATCTCAAGACTTTTACTTACACTTCCAGACTGACAATGGCAAACCCTAAAACCTAAGCCCCTAAACCCCTAAACCTTAACCGCACTTTGCGCAGGCAGACTCCACGCTGCTAACGGGTGATCTCCCGGGCCGCCACTTTCTGGGTTTGGCACAGGGCACGAATCGGACCTGATGAGGGTTTATCCTAGAGTTCGAATATAGTTCTTTTACAACATAAGGGGTTTGGAGGGGTTTGATTTTAAATATATGGGGCAACGGAGGGGTTGTTAAATCTCTTTTATGGGGTTCTGTTGTAAATATAGCCCTTCAACATAGGGGAAGTTTTTTAGGGGTTCTATATGAGGGTTTATAAACCCGAAACCTTAAACCCTAAACCAGGACTCCAGGACCCCCAGTACTATAAGGTTTGCTGCAGCATTTATCTGCATAGCGGAATAGAAGGAACACTGGTTTCCTTCCCAGTAAGAGCTTTAAGAGGGTTCAGGGGTTTAGGCTTTTGGGCATTGATGGTTCAGTTATAGTTCAGGATTCTGGATGTAGTGTCTTGTGGTGACAGATTCAGCTGCTTGCGCCTTTTAATTTTGCAGGGTTCTAGGCCCCCCACGAGTATCATTTTACCCATCTGTTAGACGTGGCCTTCTTATAAGATTGACTACAAGGAAAAGGGTAACTTAGAGTACGAGCTTCGGGCTTGCCGGTTCTGTAAGAGTTCTCTTAAGGGTTTTATGAGAGAGTCTGTACGTATTAGATGTGATGGGGATTAGTGTTTTGGGGGCATTCGAGATGCAGGGCTCAAGCTTGACTGTATGGTGGTCAAAAACCAGACTGTAGAGCTCAACGTCTATAGTGTACAGGGTCCAAGAGTTTTGAAGCACTGGGTGTGGGGTCCTCCACCTCAGGAGTTGGCATGGTATAGTCTTCAGGAGGATAAGTATGGGTCATGAAAAGCCTTCAGAAGCAGCCCCTCTTATGAGGGTACAGGATCCCCACACATATGAAAATAGTATATTTACAGCCCTTTTTAAAGCTAAACAGCACCCGCAAGCCCAAAATCTAAACCCCCTAGCTCTCTGTAGAGCCAAGCCCCAAGCTCACTCCGCAGGTGCAGCGGCTGCGCGCGCGACGCGCCGCGGCGGTGCTGTAGCTGCTCGGGAGCTTGGGGCCCGCTTCGCCACGGAGCTCCGGGGCTCTTGTAAGGGTTCCTTTTGGGGGTTTCAGGGTCTAATGCAAGGCTCATTGAAGGTTTGCTTTTACATTTCCGCCTGTGGACGGACGGATTTTAGGGTGGGTGTGGCTACCTCCAGTTCACAAGGATATAGGCTACCACTTGTACAAGGCTCGTGGGTTCTTTTTTCATCTAGTTCTTACGGCCCTTAGTTTGCTTGTTCATCGACACAGTCTTAGCCGGGTGGTAGTTTGAATGAACGGCTTCGGCATAAAAGCCAGTAGACTGCTGCATCCAGTGTCGCTTGCACCATTCAATACAACCAGCACTATTCTCGGCATCCATCACCAAAGCATGTTCGAGCGTAGAACTAACCTTTAAACATGTTCGTGCAGTAGGGCAGTGCCGCTAAGTTAAGTGTATACATCGATCCATTGCCAAATGCTGAGACAAGATGACGCATAGTTATGTGAGGTGTATGCATATTAACCGACAAGAGGTGTGCTTCTTAACAGCCTTTAAGCGCTGTTATGTTACACCCTGAAACCCCCAATTCCAAACAGTAAGCCGCTAGCCGTAACTAGTCCTTCAGCAAGACAGGGAGGAGGCTCGATATTCACAAGATACTGGAGATCCGAAGCTAAACCTTAAAGCGACCACCTCGAGACGAGCCAAGTTGCCAAGGCTCTTCAATCCGCGGAGCGCCATGGCGCCCATCTCCCATCAGACCAAGGCTATATTTGAGATCTCCCACCTCTACTTCCTCCTAACCCGCAACTCCAATGTCTTAAAGTAAAGTGAGGTCAGGCTTATAGAGTTCAGGATTTCGGAAGTAGTGGGGCTCCAGGTTAGGAGGGTTCGTTTATTTAAAGCTTTGGTCAATGTCGTGTGTTGGCCAGGGTTTCGTGTGCCTGCGAGGGGGGGCCGCAAACGCAATGTTATAAACCCTATAAACCGGAAACCTGCAGTGGATTCCAAGGTGGAGCCCTGCCGTGGGCAAGGCTCCATTTAAGGTGCCTTCATGTGCCTTCAAGTATTAAGTGTTCCTACGTGAAGGACCAGGGGGGACTCAGTGAGTTCGTTCATAGGTAAGGTAACCGTAGATTTGGGTACTTATAGCCTCAGTTAAAGTCTTTAGAACCCTGCCTATTAAGTCCCGTTTTGCTTGAAGTATGAGGAGGTCCTTTAAGAACTTCTACATTCCTGACAGAGTTCGTTAAGGGTTCCTCCAAGTGGCCGGGTTGTCCTAAGGGTTCAGGATTGTATAGGTTTTCAGGGTTTATAACTTATAGGGATTAGGATTGATCGAGGCTTTATGGTCACCTGTTTTGCTGCTGCTTCTGATAGGGATCCCACCTGCCGTATCCTACTGTACTGGGATTCCAGAATACAAATCGCACAAAACCTGAATCTGGCACGAAAACCCACCCTTTGCCCTAACCCGGAAGCTCAAACTTCAAACCAAAGCCCTGACACCCAAACTGAAGCCGCTTGTTTCCTGCCCGTCGTACATGGCTTGTAACATCAGGGTGATCTTGCACTGATGCTCGGGGAGACGACTGTCCTGCAGACCACACCCAAGCTTCCTGACATACGTGGCGTTCGCAGTAATCTTGAGGCGAACTTAGACCACGGTTTTGGAGGCTTTACAACATGACCTGTAGTATCTATATACATATATATATATATATATATATTGATATTTTTATGCACTGTGCAAACTTATTGACATAGAGCCGTTATTATGCTAGTTTTCGTATGGGGCCTTAATCGGGAGGGAGCCTGTGCGGTCTCGTGGGGCAGAAGGCATGGCCTCAGGAAGAGGATTCCAAAGGTTCTAGAGGGTCTTTACAAGCTTGATATCTGGAACTTTCGGGTTGGTTTATAGCGTTTTACATGAGGTGTCTACAAGGGTTGTACAAGGCATGTTCTTCGGTTTATAGAACTTAACATCCGAGGCTTATTAAGCGCCGCATCTGTTCGTACAATCTTGTTTCGGGTGAGAGGGGCTGGAACGCTAGTACCTGCACCATACTCAGACTACCAGGATTGCTTCTTTCGGCAGTGGAACTTTGTGTGTTTGTTCGCTACATGTCCGATTTCGGGTTTAGGTTTGGGGTTTTACTATGAAAAACACTGCATGAAGAAACTGTGCTGAACATTCCCCTAGATGGCTTCGTGCCCACTGGCTGCTCGTCATCTCAGGTTGCGTCGTGACTTCCAGGAGGTCGCTGATGGCGGCGCAGTGCTCCCTGGCACATCGGAACTTGAGCTTAGGCTTCAGGGTGCGTCGGCTTCGATCTTAGCCGAGTCCCTCGTCAGGCACGCACGAACATGGTCCATTGCACTGGAGACGCCTAAGGGGAAATATGCAAAAGAACCATCACACCCTCAAGCCCAAAACCCTAAAGCCTCCTCGGCGTAGTCACCGAAGTCCATTAGCTAGATACAGTGAGTGTGTATCTTTTGGTGTAAACATGCGGAGATTTACAATTATAGGTTCTATACGCTAGGGTCTCGTGTTGTGGTCTACCGCATGTTTAGTTGTTTCACTTTGCAGACTCGCACCATATGCCTCGCCTGGATTGTCCGAGTTGGAGCGCCGAAACTGGCCTGAGGCCCCGAAAAACTTAAGCCCCCGAGCACCAAGACCCTGAAATCCTACACCCGCAGACTCGCAGCCGATGTCCAAAGCTTGTATAAACCAGGGCCCCACCAACATCAACATACAGAGGTAGTCCTTGAAGCAGCAACAGCAACAGGAGGAGAGGAGGAGGAGGAGTAGTAGTACAAATAGCAGCAGATGTAGCAGCAGTATCAAGGGCAGCAGTCAGCAGCAGTAGCCGTAGCAGTAGTAGAAGTAGTCGTCGTCGACGTCGTCGTCGCCGAGGCCGAATTCGCGACAGCACTGTCGCCTTTGTCTTATGCATATCGTCCGGAGACTTCTCAACCGAATGCCGTTGCAGGAGTGTTTTTTTGGTAGGGTCCGTATCGATTATCTTTTAGGCTTGTCGTCCTTTACGAATCTTAAGCTACATGTGTTCACGAGGTATTGGCCAGGATGCCTTTGCGCTGCTGCCGACTACAGCCTCTTCGAAAAGCTGTACGAGGATCGAAGTTTTTCTTCGCCAAGGGCAACGGGATTTCCGAAAGAAAGGACTCCTGTTTGAGGGACCGTGTGATCTTCAACCTGACGTCCCAAGCCTTACAACGGAGGAGGCTACGGCTCTTGTGGCTCCACATTGTAGTTAACAAGAAGGCATATCCCGAGAACTTCCGTCAAGTGGAGCCACAGGTAATTTCTGTAGAAGCCCTACAAGTTCTGAGCCTTAAGCCGTAAACTCCGTATTCGCGTCAAGAAGGAGCTCTCTCCTTGGAAAGCCTCGCCTTACAAGCGATCGCGGCACCCTGCGTGCTGCGGACCGAGATTAAATTAAGAGTTTAGGGTTTAGGAGCAGTAAGGACGGCAGTCGAGTCCCTTGTGAAAAGGGGTTTAGAGGCGTTTGTCCGCATGAGCGGCCTTCAGCCGATGGATGGTCGAGTTTGCAACTACAGGCTTCAAGGGAAAAACTTGCATCTTCGAACGAACATTCTGCACGCCTGGAGCTTTCGGACCTCAGTCTGTGACTTCAGTGTCAAAGATATCCCAAGTTTTCCCTATACAGGTTCATGCACAGTGTTCAGGCCTTTGTGGAGCTCAGTAACTTTTAGGGGCAGAATATAAGCTATGTGAGCACATGGGCCTTTAGGGGTATTGACATAAACACTTGTTGTTCCTATCAGAAACCGTATCCTATATGTTTATCTTGTTACCAAAACAAGACGAAGTGAACATAAGCGACGCTTCAGAGTTGTATATGTAACAAACGAGGTAAAAACGAAGGGCACTGCTCCGAATGTATTTTCGTGTCCTCAGATTGATCCACATGTTCTTTAGTGTCTCGTAGAAACCGAACAAAATTAGTTTAGCTGGCGAAATGACCACAGGGATCTTTTTAGAGTGCGTTTCTTCCTATAGTAGGTATCAGACGATAGGATGCAGAGACAGGCTCACCTAAGCACATATTCCAAAGGTACGAATGGCATAGCTGCCAGAAAGTTCGATTGCCGTTGTTCGAACTATATAGCTCTGGGGCATTGTCCATCTCATGATCTGGACTAGCAAACTAAGTACTTACATTCTCGGTGGCAAAATGTTGACAAGTTGAACTGTTGAATGAAGATAGTTCGGTTCCTGTCTGAGCTTGAAAGCACCCTAGCCTGCAGAGGTGCGTCGACGAGTCTTTGTTGCTCGCATCAGCGACCTACCGCCATGTTGTGGCGCTTTTACGGGAGGCTCGGTAGGGTTTGAATATCTGCAGACCGTGCAGACCTACATGCCCCGAGACCGTATAAACCCTAAAGCCTACCCCGCTACCCTGAATCCCTGAATCAGCTTCGTAACTCCTCACAAACTACAAACTACTGCTAAGAATGACATGCAGTCAGCCTCTGATCGTTTTAGCCAAGCTTCTGTGAGAATCGTTATGTTAAACTACCGAAAGCGTTTAAGTCTTCGGGGTTTCTTTCGCAAGGTCTTCGGCGTCGCCGTTGGCTACTCCATCGTGAACCTGCCTCTCGGATTCCAAAAGCCCAGGACCGCTTGGCAGGCACTGCTAGCTGCCAGAGACTCTAATGCCCCTGAAGCACCCGAACCACCTCAAACTGCAGAGGGATCCTTAGCATGACCGGACCCACCATGTTACTAGTCCCCTTAAATTCGAAAACACGATTACCCTCAAAACCTGCAGCTCTGGGCACAGAAACCTGAACAGCCTCCGGATTGCAAACCCTGCGACTTCTAACTCCATGGTGCAGGGTGCCGTGTTCCCTTGAGGGTTTTGGGAACTGTGTCTTCTGCCTGAGAACAGTAAGAAGATGGAGCTCGGTCCCAACCCGAACATTGCCTAAAAGCAAAGCCCAGCTGAGGTATGCAGATGGGGAAGATTGGACAGACGCTGGACAGCTAATGGTGTGAATAGGCCTACAGCAGTCCATTAGCTGTTACTCTACGGGCTTTATGCCAGCTTTACGCTAATTCAAGGTGTGCAGAGCTCTCTTTGAGTATGTGAACATACGCGACGAAACCAGCAAACCCTGAGCCCTCCATCTGAGAGTATTTGGCATTCAAACATCCCCTAAACCCTACAAAACGGGTGTTTCTCATGGCCAGTGGTGTCTACTATTTTCTGAAACTCCAATGTCTAGCTCCAGAAGCCAAACCGCTGATGCGTCAGAGGTTTTATGTTTTTCTTTAAACTGGTGTATATACTGTAGGGCCCAGAATCCGTAAACAGCAGTTTAGTTCGCTGCTTTTCCGTTGCAAACTGGAGAAGCCCTTCTAAACATCTATTTCCCAATGTCAATGAGGAACATTGAACCCTTTTGCTCCAAGCCCCTATAGAAACCCCACGACAGAATCCAGGAATACCATCGTGACAACTACAAGTCGGAGGGCAACCGGATCGCTGCAGCCGGCTCAACGGCAGCTCACGACGTGACGATAGGGGCCGGTCCTATGGGGGGCTCTTCAAGTTTGAGGATGGTGGTCTAGAGTTTTGTCGGGTTCTGTAAGGGTTTCGTAAAGAATCAAGGCCTGAAAAGTTGTGCTCCGAAGTTAGAGGGTTTAGGGTGAGCCGCTGAAGCCATTCAGGTTACGAGTCTGGCCCAGTGGACAGCTGAACAGGCTTTGACCCCCAATTCCATACTGCTACTTTATACCAATGCATCTCATCATGCTGCAGTGTTACAGTATAGGGTTTAGATGGCGTGAGTTGTCAGATGCACCCGAATTTGACTGCACCACTTTGGCAGGCCAGCTTCGGTGCGCCGAGGGAGTTGAGGCCAGTCTGAGTTGCTGCCTCTTTCTTGTATAATGGGGTTTTGGGTCCCGGGTTTTGGGTTGCAGTGTACTTCCGATTTTTGTTCAGAGGCGGTGAGGTTTCGGGTGTGTTTATTCACCTATTGTTTAGCGTTTTGCAGGCCTGGTGGCATATCTGCCGATACAGACTTGTTACCCTAACCAACCAGGTACCTACTATATAGGGCCTTAGGGGCTCTAGTACCCTATATAGTAGGTACCTGGGGACTTATAAGGTTACAGACGCATGCTACTCCAAGGACCTGGCGCTCTGCCCAAGCCGGGATGACAGGAAGATACGGCCAGACCCAAACCCCTCACCGCTGAGCCCTACAACAACGAAGGGGTTTATAAGTCCCCTAATATGGGTTATGATTATAGTTACCCTACTTATAACCCTACTTAAATAACTACCCATGAACCTGAAGCCCTAAACTGTAAGCCGCACCCAGAACAACCCTAAACTGAAGGTTCAAGCACCTGGAGACGGGCCTTGAGTTTGGCTTTCCACAGACCAATGGTGCGGCCCTCAAGCTTACAACTGGGGTGGATATCAGGGGTGTTGGGTTGTATTTTTGTACTTATATTCTTAAGAAGCCCTAACGAATAATGTTGGTAAGTATAGTCTGGCTTCTATAACTTGAGATTTAAGGTTCAGCCTCTGTCCACCGGAACTTTTTTGATGCTACAACTCACGTTGCCCTGCGTCAACCTAAAAGATGTTCCCTACAACTCCAAACCGAAACCTTTTGAGCGCTGAACCCTGAAGCTTTCAGAGCTCTAAACCCTTCAAGTCATATAATGAAAAGCTTCATGCATTACCAATACCATGTGGAGGGCTCCTTATTATACCTATAGTAATGTCCCTAGATTACGCTAAAAGGCCTAGTTTGAACCTAAAGTTTCGCAACACCCTCCATCCCGGAAAGTAAATCCGGGACAGCCTTTTAACAACGCCCGAAGAGACTCCCAAGTTCCGTTCTTAGGGGCTTGGGCAATGTAGTCAGCTAGGAGGCCCTAGGTGGTCTCAATTCCTCAACAGATGTATACGCATATAGAGCCATAAACACCCACGAAGCCCCTTTTTAAGACCCTTATGTTAGAGCACTTAACAACCGACCGAGGCTTGAAATGCCAGTGCAGAATGACAATAAGTCCATTTTAAGCCCCTGCAGAACTTCTCCTGACATCCTTGTAAATCATTGCCTAGTAGGGTCCCTATATCGAATCCCTACACGGAGCCCTTCTTTCCCTCAAGGAGACGTCTTTGCCTTCACTGAGCCCGTCAACTCAGCCTTCCAGCACTTCGACAGAAAGCTGGCAAGTAGGCATTCCACTGAAGCGAAAGGTTCCGTTAGATCCTTAGAATGGTCAGCTCGTAGCCCCAACTCAAACCTACGACCCACAAGGCCTTCAGCACTCCAAAAACGCTGTACACCCTACAACACCTTATAAAGCCCGTGTTCGGGACCCAAGCATCGAGGTATGTAGGACTCAGAAACTCCTGAACCCCTGAGTTAAGCTAGGCTTTTCGCGGGATCCTGGATCCGACTAGTCTGATCTAAGGCAGAGTCCTTAGTTTTTGGGGTTTGGGAGCCTCTGGGGGCTTCGAAGCCTCCAGGCACTGCATCCCCCGACTTCTGCCGGCCTCTTCCGTCGGGCCTCGCATTTCCGTGGCATCGCTGCAGAAGCCGAATTGAGCGGCTTGATGGGTTCCTGCAAGGTTGCAAGGAAGGGACCCACAGGATTCTAGAGCTTGAGGAGTTTGGGCGCTTTGGGTGTAGGGTGGTTGCACAAGCCCTGATGCGGAAGAGTGTTCACGCTTCACGGGTTCATGGACAGCTTCGGCGCCTGCTCTGGTCATGTGTTTACAGGGTTTAAATTTTATTCAATATTTACGTTAAAGTCTAGGACCTTGAGGCTTAAGGAGTTGGGGCTTTAACGGTTTCTTGGTCGTAATGTTCAGAGCAGGGCATTGGGTGCCGGAATCGGGCTCGTAAGAAGGTCCCGTCGCCTTGGACAGCGAAACAAAAAGACTGCTGTAGAGACACAACCCCTCTTGACTCAGCTGCTTAAGTCCCGATAGTCCCTATGATGATCATCCTTTGCTCTAAAAACGAACCACCTGTCCCTACAACTGTCACGTTTCGACTTCAGGGAAGTCCGTGTTGTTCCGTGTATCTCGGTTTCCTTCCATGATGGCTTTGACCATGATCATTCGTATTACGCCCGGGGCAATTAGTAGCTCGTTGCAACGCTCGGTATGCCTGGCCGAAACCGTACATCCCAAGCCCGAAAACCAACGTGAAGGATGTGTAGACGTGGTAAGCGCGGCTGCAAGTAAGGCAACCATGCTTGTATCTTCGAATGGCCACAGCGGTGGCACTTCAAGCTGCCTTTGAATAACCTATGAACATCCAGTAATCCAAGTAGTCAGGAAGAGCCGCCATAAAGCCCTTATAAGGTCCAACCAGGACCACCTTGTAGAACCCCATGTGAAACCCTGCATTCCCCGTGCGCAAAGCCCAGGTGATCCTCTGGGGTCGACTGGAAAGTTCCGCTGTACTTCGGAAACCGCACGAAGGTTGAGAGGACCGAGAATTCAATACTGGGATTATGGTTTACATTTCTGGCGTGTGCTATGTATGATGGTACAACTATAATGGGTGGAGGCCGATGGAGCACAAGCACCCACAACTGCTTATTTCAGAAATGCGCTTCAATCAACCAAAACTGGGACGGGACTGCTTGAGAGGCGGTTCAGCATAATTATGAAACTTCTTTGAAGACCCTTAGATCGTAGTACAAAATCCTTAGGAAAGTGTTTTCGATAGTGTCAGTATGGAACCGACAGATATCATTCCCAACAGCCTTCCATGCAGGAATGGCGACCTGCTGTCGTGGCACCTGTACAGCGGAGACCTAGAGACTCCAAAATCCGTCGAATGAGGGATTCTGAGCTTCTGTTGTTCTTTTGCAATAATCATTGCCCCATTGTCGCAGCAGGAACTATAACACATTTGGAGCGTTTTGAGAAGATTTCAGTCGGTTAACTATCGCTCGTTTCTGGATTTCGACCCTTAAGCACACGTACATGGGGGATTCTTCTTAGGATCATTCTTTAATCGAAGAGTTTCGGAGTCTCTAGAGACGCCGGCGGTGCTCGCAGTCTCACCCGAGTGGCGTGCATGATTATCGCGGGCCACTAAGCCGAAAACTTCAACCCCTCAATCCGTCCAATTTTTGCTGCACCGAACATAAACCCGACAAGCCAAAAACATGGATCCGGTCTTTGCAGATATTTTGCCGAATCCAAGGGCTCTCGCTGCCGATGACCCCGCAGGACCTCCGGGGTGTGTTGGCATAGTAAAATAGTAAGAGCAAGCACTTGTCATTTTAGGGCTTCGGTCGTGTATTAGGTGTCAGAATCACAGACAAGGGCTACTCGAATGCTGAGCTAGGGCTATATATGTACACTATGCAGTGTCATATTCTGGGTAGGGATATAGGGTCTGAGGGCTGCACGCTTCAATATAGAGGTCTGATTAGCCAGACATGTATACTGTCAGTTCGGCATGACATCATATGATAGATAGTCTACTGAACCGGGCCACATTTGTTTTGTTAGTCATGACATTCTGTCGTTCTAGACTTATACCTCAACGTCTACCAAGAGCCATTTTCTAATCAATTTCAGTTTCGGGGTTGCGTTTGGCTTGTCCAAGTTTGGATTCAGGATTCTTTTTCTGCTGCTTGCATTGAAGCTTTGCCCAAACCCCCCAGGTGCCTACTATGTGGGGTTCTAGAGCCCCTTAGGGCCCTATATATAGTAGGTACCTGGAGGGTTAGGGTTAGGAGCTGCTTGAAGTCGATTGAGATACTCCTGGTAATTGGGTCTATGGAGAGCATGAATTGAAGTGCTTCTGCCTCCAAAAGGTCTAGGTACCCAAATCAGTAGATATGTTGCCCCAAAACCCTGAAGACCGTAGGCTTTGGTACTTCGCTGAGGATTATAACGGCTTGTGAGGTTGGCGCTGGTCTAGGCCTGGTGGTGTCTTCTTGCAAACTACGAGGGATGTCAAGGACGTGACAGGTCGAGCACGGTCGAGCCACAGTTTACGCAGCATGTAAGTGGTCTTGGTGATCATTGGGGGCTTGAATTCAGAGTTTACGGTTTTAGGGTTTCGGCTAACGATTTAGGTTTCAGGTGTTGGCTGTGGTGCGTCAATCTGCCGGCATGGGATCACGGCAGTTGACCCGTGCTCCAAGGCTCCCATAAACCGAGGGCCTCGAACTAGTATTGGGCTCGGGAAAAGAGATGAAGATGTGTGTAGCCTGTGTAGCCGTTATACTCTTCAATTCTAGCCCTCCCTAAACCCTAAACCCTGAACCTTAAACCCTAAACTCGGGACCTTTTCTTGCCATGCCGGCATCGTTCGAGTGTGTGAGTCGAAACCTAAACCCTAAACCTGATACGGCTCTGCATCGTGTCATGATGACACGTGCTCCATGGCTCAGGAAGCTCTCCGCTTGCTGCGCTCGTCCACACCTCATTTTTGCTTGCCTTGTTCAGAATCCTTTGGGTTTTAGGGGCTGGTGTCAGAATCCGTTGTGTTTCAGGGGATTGGGGCTTCAGCGCTGTCCTTGAAGGTTCGACTATCCGTGCTATGAGTTATAGCCACCCCGCGAATGAGGCCGGGAGGTGTTCGCCTGTGCAAGCATGTAAATCGGGGACGGCTACACTATGTAAACCCTAAGCCCTCAAACTGTATGCTTCTACTTGTTTGGATTGCAGGAATGTGGTGTCCGAGGCGCGAGGAGATGGGCTCTCTGGCCGACGATGGTCTTTGCCTCTACATCGGTGCTTGGGAGCTGCTGGGCAGGCACATTAAAAGTAATTATAAGTACATGGGGAGTTCTCTAAATCACAGTCCCTTTTAGGATCCTCTTTATAAGGGTGCCGTACAATGTTTGGGACCTAAGAAGGGGCCCTAATTTCGAGAACTACCCACATGGTATGGTTGGGCTTTAGGGTCTTAGGAGGCTTCTCGTCTCAGGCTTTGGCTGAAAGATTTTAGGGCTTAGGGTCTTTAGGGCCGGTAGGCTTCCGGTTTCAAACTGCTTCGCAGTTTTTGGGAGACCCGGCTTCATGTGGGTGGTTGTCAAAATTATGGTCCCTTTTTGGGTCCTTATTATAATACGGCACCTATTATTTAGGGTACCCCAAAAGGGACCATAATTTTGACAGCTACCCATGTAGGAGCAGAAGACCATATTCAATATTCACTTCATTCAGAGTCCGGGCCTGTCACACATTCCTGTAACCAAAACTTCCGTGGGTGCCATTCCAGGAACTCTGGGGCAGTGGGCAGAGACAGGGCATGTTATTTTCAGGTTTCTCCCACGGTGCTTTGGACCCGACATCTTCATCCCCAACTAGACGCTAAACTCCAATCCAAGCGCGTCGTTACGATGCGACCTGGGGTTCGCTCTTTTAGGGAAGTTCAGAATGTCCCCCTCAACGTCTTCAGATGCCTATAGTGCAATATCCCGCACAATGCAGTCTGACTATGAAGGCCCTCATCCAGTGGCAGTCCTCAAGGGTGAGGGCATCGGGTCAACTGGTTTCGCGGTGCTCAGTACGACTTAAAGAGTTTAATATCGAGTTCCTTCTTATAATTCTAGTATAATATACGGCTCCTGATATATTATAACTATTAACTACAGTATAATATACCCCAAAAAGCCCTATTCTATTTGCTAAGGCCCTTACATTAGGGTACAGGGTTTCGGGTGCAGGGTCTCCATGGCTTTGGGCAGACGGCTTGCTGTTTCAGCTCTGGGGTCGAGGGGCTTATACAGTAAACCCCAAAAAAGTTGGAAACTGGATTAAGGACAAATAGTGCTGGGATTCAATATGCATGACTCTTAAGGATGGAGGCTATTGGGTTTCCAACTTTTGGGCTTCTACTATAGGGTTTATAGGGCTTAAGGTTTAATTGGGGAGTTTCGGAAGTAAGGGGGCTATTGAACGAGACTCTGAGACTCTGAGTAGAAGGAAATGCACACTCTTGCAAATTGAGTCTGCGCGAACTCATCATTTTTAGCTGCGGCCCGAAGTTTTTGCATGGTACCCTTCAGGGTTTGGGGGTTTAGGGGTCTCCTTGGGATTCAAGGGATTTAGGGTTTAGGGCCGGGGCTACCGATCAGAAAAGCCATGCGTTGACTGTGACAACTTACAACTGTTGGTTACTTAATCTCCCTCGTGGGAATTAAGGTTTCATTCTTGGCAGTAAGCCGTCTCGCGCTGGGGTGATGGCTGTAGTGTTGCGATTACTCCTGTCACTATGTAGGGGGCATCACCTTCACGCTAGGCATGCTATGACCATTCATCATGTTTATGATTTCATGCTGTTGCTCTTGTGCCTGGCATCATTGTCTATCCAGATCTCTCCCTTAAAAGCAGTTCGCGGTCCCCAAACCTGTAGGGCTTCAGGTCTAAGCAGAAGTGACTACGCCAGAGTAAGGTACGACGCAGATGACTGGACTGCAGGAGGTGCAGCATGGTCGCCTCCCGGAGTGCGTTTCTGTTGAAGGGACTTTCGGCTTGAATTTTTAGGCTTCAAGTTCTGAGGCTTCGGCATTCGAGCTCCTCAAGACCCAACCTTCCCACGCTGTTGGGTAATTTTTACAGCCTTCAAGCTCCATTTCCGATGTCGGAGCTTAATTACATTGGGCTCATGCTGCCTTCAGGTCTATTTGGTTTGATGACTGGGTTTGGTGTTAAGCCCTTGTCGGGAGAACTGCCGTGTAGCGGTCAGGGCTAAGGCCCCAGGTTCATGGCCTCCGCACATCTCAGATCAACGATAACACGACCCTCGCTAGTGAGTGGCCGCAAAGCTTGTCCGCAACCCTACACCGAAAAACGTCGTCGGTACGTGTCCGAGTTGTGAGTGCTGAGGCCCAACAGTCTCAAATTCCTCCCCTGAAGGCCACGGGTAAGAATCCTGGAAGCCTGAAGCCAACGCGACACGGGACAGAATGAAAGAAGTGAGACCTGAAAGCTCGAAGCCGAAATCTCTGTCATTCAGATGTTTGTAAATGCTAAGGATTCGTATTAGGGAGAAACTTTTCGGTTTGGAGTTGGGGGCTTTGGGGATTATCCCAGGCAAGGCCTCAGCCAAGATCTGAAACCTGGTGCGGCTTCGCAGCAAGGGTAGTTGCGAGTGTTGACTGCTTGGGCTGGGGCACTTGAATCCCACGCTGATTCGGCCAGTCGGTCGACGGCTACAAGGGAAGGATGCATGCACAGACGCATGAAACAAGCTTGCACACGTCGGATACGCATGTAAAAGAAACAGTGGAGGTAACGTGATCGGCTGGAAAGCCTTTGCAGAATCCTGGGCATGGAGTGTCCCTTATCCAGACCCTTAGCAGTATAGGATCCTCATTGTATAGGCTTCACAACTCTACGACACCACACCATGCACGCAGGAGTATCAGAGCGGGCGTCGGGATGTGCATCTCAGGCTGCGCTGCTAGTATCGCAGCGTATAGGGTTTGAAAGTTGGATAAAGGGCCTGGGCACTGAGCAATGTTACTCCCTAATTGTCCCTAGATCGTCCAACAAGGACACAATCACCCCAAGCCCAGTTCTAATTATTAGTGAGCTACATATTATCCGGGGCAGGCTGGATCGCTTGCGACATGATTGGATTGTCAGGCTTATGACACAGATGTCTCACGGAATGTAGTTTGTTTGCTTGCCATTCGGCCAAGAGATTCTCTTTACTGTGCAATGCTGACACTGCACGTGCTCGAAGTGGCCTGGTGCCCGCAGTATCACCTGAAACTAGGGAGCCATCAGATTTTTCCTCGGAAGTACAGGACATATCGGCCTCCGGGCTCCAATGGATTCGATCGACAGCTGCCGCTTGCGCATCCATGCTCGCCTCTATCACCGTCGTAAGACTGACAAACCAGCTGCGCAGCTTGGATGGGTAGAGCAGTCATGCAATGACTGCATGTTCGGAACTGCTGTGTTAGGCGTGTGTCAGTAGTAGTCGTCGTCGTTGTCGTCGTTCTAGTAGCAGCAGCAACACAAGCAGCAGTAGCAGCAATGGTCGTCGTCGTCCTCGTCGTCGTCAGTGTGCGCAGTCATGTTGTTTTACGCCGTTGTTGTAGATGTTGTTGATGTTGATGTCGGTGGTTGTCGTCGTCGTCGTCGTCGTCGTCGTCGTCGTCGTCGTTGTGGTTGTTGTTGTCGTCGTCGTCGTCGTCGTTGTTGTTGTTGTTGTTGGTGGTGTTGCTGTTGGTGTTGGTGTTGGTGTTGTTGTTGGTGGTGTTGTTGTTGTTGTTGTCGTTGTTGTTGTTGTTGTGGTCGTC